AGCGGCAGAGAAACGTTACTTCATGATTGAGTCCTGCGATTCCATCATTCGATCTCTCATGACTGACTTATGCGAAATAACTCGGGATGCCGTCGGAGTTTATTAAGGCTTCTGAAGACTTACAAAGTCACAATTCTATTTTCGATAATGCCATAATAGCATTATCTCTTACCCATACGTGTGTATGTTAACGCCACGTGAATGTGCGACGAAAAATAGTGATGGTAGAAAAAACAAGCGAAGAAAATCTCTCAGTGCAGTTTAATTATTTTTAAAATACATTGTTATAAAAAATGCGATTACATTGCATACCTCAATATACATATCGTATCAATTTAATTCGATCGAGTTCTGTTATATTAAGTGGATCACAGAATTCGAATATCGGTATTAATCGACGATTTAATATTATTTTTAATATCTATACATTACTCTGTAAAATACGATTACATTGCGTATCTTAATGCATTATTATATCAATTTAATCCGATCCCGTTATATTAGATGGATCAGAATTCGAACAAGTGTTAATTAGTGGTTTTAAAATTCATTTTTAAATTATTTTTGCAGTTGTTTTAAATTATTTTTGCAGTTGTTTTAAATTATTTTTGCGTTGTTGTTAAGGCGGTGTTGCTACAATCTCTCGTTTTTCCTCTATTTACTATCCAATTTAAAAAGTGACAGATAGCGTTAAAATATTGTTCTAATTAAAACGATAGAATCAGAACGTTAAACAGCCATGTAAAGTTTTTATTGTATTTAATCTTGTTTTCTTTTGCGAGGAAAAAATTTATATTTCGATATAATAGATCGAGATTCGATTTGTATGTATTTACGCATATCTATCATATACAAAACACGTTAATTTTATTCTACACTCTAGAAAATATTAGTACAGATTTAACACATCATGCGGTGTGTATATAATCCACACCATGATGGCGTGGATATAAATACTAGAGATTATAATAAGAGAGTATAATAAATCCACGCCATATTGTTATTGATATTGACACTAACATAGTGAGAATTAATTAAGTATATAAACACCGTATAGTATCAAATCTACATCAATATCTTTCAGTGCCTTTAGTCTTCTGTAACTTACCCAAATTGCAACTTAATTGCGAACGGAGAAACGTATTAAATTATAATCGTACTATTATTATATATTTCCGCGCGTCTTAATTCAGGAGCGTTTCAGCAGGTATTTTCGAGTAAGGTAGATCGGGATGTATCGACCCGAGGAAACGAGGTCGATTGTCGCTTACCTCATTGAAAAACTGGCTCTCTTATATAGCGGCGGGCTGCCGTCAGCACGCCGGCGTTCCTCCGTTTCCCGTCTTCGTGATCATGATCGCATCGCGTAGAATTGAAGGGCGTAACTTCCACCGTTTCGCGATCAATGTCACAACAAACGATACGTTCTCGCGAAAACGCGACCGTCGGTTACGAACACTTGCATAGTCGCGCGACGCACACGACGTGACGAACCTGATCGAACGGCGACCGGCAATCCGATCGTCCGTGACAGTCGTCAGGTGAATACGCACGTGCGCCGATCACTCGCATCAATTCACACTTGCATTTTATTGCGAGCTGGCAATCACCGCTCGCACTTGCATTGATTAACGAGTATTTACGTTGACACTTGGCGATAACTCAATCACGTTGGCGGAAAATCAAACGCGTTGCGTTTAGCGGAAAAAGTAGCTTTACGACTATTGTAAAATTCTTTCATATCATTGATCTTGTCCTTAGTTCCTCTCACTGGATCTGAATATATAAACCAATCATATATTAGCGAATTTTGTAACAGTTACGAAGCTGCTTTCTCTGCTGAATACCGCCAGAATAATGATTTATTATCGGAGTGTATATTCACGATACCATGGCAAACTACATTTATTTATTAATAATTTTAATCGCTCTGAGTGATGAAGGTCGAATCTTATTCACTTATTCACCAATACACTTTATTCGTAACTTCAAATATTCCACATGCCAGATCCGCGACTGGTTTGACCGGTATAATCAAGGTCTTTTTAAATGAACCTCGAAACCACAGTGCATTCCAATTTAAACAAGTGTATCGCCGTATTTGACGATGTGTACTTGACAATGACTTTTTCTCAGAATGAGGTCAAAATATAATCGGAGAAAGACGAAAACTTTCGATCGAGACGTCGGAACGACTATTGTTTACCTCGTTATCGCGACCTAACGGGGGATCTCGAAGAACCGTTCTCCGGGAAAAACTTCCGAAAAACAACTCTTGACAGCACTTATTTGTTAGTACTAACGATGACGCTTGCCGCGGATGAACGATGACTCTCTAAGTTAACACTACTTTGACGAAACGCTATACGCGACGCAACGCCGAGCCGAAGGCTGTCCGCGTCCCGTTATTATACCTCGACCGGTGATCGAGTGACCGTGAAACTTCACGAGACCACGACTAGACGAACGCTTCCGGCGATACTGCAGCTTGCATATTCAAGGAGGACACCCGGTTCTCCAGATGTAGGACCGCGCGACGGAGATCCCGGAGGAGGATTCACTCGGCGACCTGCCATTGTAAATAGTTGTGACCGAGACGACCAGAGGCTCGCGACCAAGTGTAACGGACGTGGAAAGAGGGACCAGACGAAGGAAGAGGACGGCGGTCAAGCCAGAAGGAAATGGCGAACGTCGGACGCTAGCGATGGACTCGAGCGCCCGTCGAGGCTGCTCTCTTCGACTGTAGGGCGAACAAAGGGAATATGCTAAACGCTGCTCTCCGCAATTATACATCTGTTTTTCCGTGGCTGAACAAGTGTACATATTTTTGAAACTTGAAATGAGATGGATTGTATGTTTGATATTTAAAAAGTTCCAACGTATGGTTTAGTGTATTTTTATAGGAATAAAAAACAGACCCTTTGAATTTAAAAATAACAAAATCGAAATTCAGGGAAAGAAGCGTGTGACACATCGATCAAGTGTTTCTATCTCGTCGCTTTGGAATCTCGCGAAGGATCTTCGATTTGATCTGTCTTTTAAAGAGTTTTGACTTGTCTCTCTTTTCAATCGTTGCGATTACTTGTCTGTCGCTTGCCTTTTTTCGTCTCTCGTCCCTTTTCCAGAAAAACCCCTGGAGTAATTGATTGTTAATGTTGTATGTGACGACTGAATATTTTCTAATCGTCGCTCAGTCCCTCCGCTGTCGCTACTTGAACTTAGTAATGCCGGACGAGTGAGCAATTAATCACCGGGCCGGATCGGCTCTATCACTAATCGCGTCACTCTCCTCGCCCCGTACTCGGTTCCACCGTGCCCATTGTTCTCATCCACGAAACCGCTTGCAATTGTAATCGCGGATGGATCGTCGCCGCAATGTCCATTCCCCGTCCAGCTCGCGGCGCACTCCTGAGGTCGCCGACGGATCCGCGCACAAGACTCTATTTCCGATGGCGCATCTTTTTTTTTTTTTTTTTTCTGGCATTCGCGTTTTGGCTTCTTCGCGCGTCGCCGCTATTTTCGAGGGACTATTTCCTTCGCTTACGTGAATCTCTCAGTTCGACTGGATAAGCAACTTTCCGAACCGTTCGTCCCGAAGGTACGAATCAATGGAAATCATGAGGGGTCTAAACTCGACTTGCGATTTCAAATTAATTGCACTTTCAAATTTGAAACTCATAAAATAATGTATGTATATCTGAAATTGAAATTTTTTTTAAATATATGCCGAGTTTCTCGCCAAAATTGCTGCCAAAACAATTTCTAACGTTTACCTGCGAATTGTCGAAATTTATTAGCAGCTTCTGCAATAAAATTTTAATCACATTAGCTGATTATTTTTCTCATATTCGATCTTAAAGTTTAAGTTGTAAAGTTTAAAATCTTATTGCTGATGCCGTATTATGTTAGATGATGACAGAAGCATTTATGTTTTACTCAATCGCTACCATTAACATCACATTACTTCTCGGTATAGTTACTAAAACGAATTCGATTGGACGCAATAGTATAACATATTAAAGCTATCATACACTGATTTAATTTGAATATAAAAGTAAACTACAACTATTTCGAATTATAAAATGCACATTTTACCTAATAACAGCGCTATAAAGTGTATTGCAAATTTTACGGTTTAACCCGTTTATATATACTTCTATTCCCAACAAAGTTAAACTTACATGTAATATGCCCTTAATTGTTGTAGTTTCCTACTTGCAGCAATATAACTGTAATATATATAACACACATGTTATACTACAGTTATATTGTTGAAGTTATACCAACAAGTACATTACATGGCAACTTGGTGGATTAAATGCACATTTTTACTTCAAACTGTAAGTATATACGACTTTATATTGTGTATCAATGTGCATTGAATATGTCCAATCAAATTCGCAATACAAATATGCAATAAAACATCATACTTATCTTACTCTGAAAACGTCTTTATATATACGTACTGAAACTATGACAGTGTATGCTTTATTGTCAACATATTCAATACGTGTCTGCAAAATGCTCCTGTATCTTGTCTCGATAAGTAAAACCGCAAGCAAGCCAGCGCTTCCGTATAGCCAAGGGCAACATATCAATTTTACGATAAGACCTATCGGAAAGCACGCGCGCGCGTGTGTGTGTGTAGCGTAATGTACATAGAATGTTTTGCTTCAAGCTTTGAGATTGAACATTTTTGTTAAAGGAAGAGATATAGACCGATGCAAAGAAAAATACTTTGACTTCAGGGATATTACATAATCAAATCAATATTTCTTTTTTGAATAAATGCTTTTAACGTTTAATATATTTTTCTTCTTTTAGAACGCTGCAGGATGATTGTGTAGGAGATAAGATGGCACGTGTGCGAACTCAAGAAAATCAACATTTCAGAGAACGAAGGATTTTATATGATAAATCATTTTATTTTAATAATTTGTGTGCCTGTGTTTGTACAGTATAATAATAATAATAATAATAATAATAGTAGAGAAGTAGTAGTAGTAGCAATAGTAACAATAAAAGTAGTAGTAGTTTAATAATAGATAATAGTAGAGTAGAGCAGTAGCAGCCGTACAAGTGACAATAGTAGAATGGTTTTTACTACAAAATGTAGCCTCCGTCATCCGTCTGGTCCACTTTGACGTTTGAATCTCGAAGAGGAGCCCGACGGTTGCCGGAAAAACGGTAGATGGAAAACGTCGACGTTGTAGGCATTTCTACCGATTTGGCCACTGACTACGCTTCGATCTTTGTTCGAAAAGTGTTAACGAGACTGTGCAACGATCATTCTTTGAAATTTTTTAGATACGCTGTTCTCCTTAATATCCGTAAAGGTGCACCGAAGTAGCCAGAAGATTTATTCCTCTTCCTCCTCCTCCTCCTCCTCCTCTTCCTCCTCTTCCTCCTCCTCCTCTTCCTCCTCTTCGACTTCCTCCTCCTCCTCCTCCTCGCCTTCCTTCACCTCCTCCTCCTCTTCTTCATCGAATTGCGGCTCCTCGAGATCATCGTCGACGGTGGCCTTCACGTCCTCCTCGCCCTCCGGTGATTCGGGATCGCCAGACTTCTTGCCCGGTCTCTCACCGAACCACTTAGGTAACTTCGCTATTATTCATGCAAAGTGACGGATTAATTTTACGCAATTTGGAGAAGAACGCGAGTACGCTAAATGTATACTGGATTAGAATTCCATGAAGCTAAATAATGGCAAAAACAAAGTGCGGAGGATATTCGTAAAATAAATTTCTACTAATTTTTGAATTATAATGTCAAGTCAATCATCATTGTATGTATAAGCTGTACGAAATGTATGAAAATAGAAATTTTTTCTCTTAAAAATTTTTCCCTTTAATTACATTTGTTACTTGTACTTCGATGTCTCGAGGAGCACCGGAAGCTCTTTTAAAGCTCTTGGTGCCGGCTCGAAGCCTCGAAAGCGAATTTCATACGTACTCTTCTGACGACCCATAAACTGTTGCTTTTGTTCAGCCCACATCTTCTCCATGATCTCCTTCTGTTGATCAGTCAGACCCTGAAACATCACGGACAGAATGGCATGCTAGGGGTTACTTTCACACATCAGGACCGCCTGGGAAAACCCTCTCTCTCCGTATCGTTGCTTTCTCTGGGTTGTACAAATCTTCCCATGGCGAAGTTAGGGCTGACAGTCACGATCGACAGAATTAACATCACAAAGGTCATCTATTCTCACGATCGTATCGTCTTCCAGTCTGGATTACGATCCTCGACGCTTGTTTCTGACATTCGAAGAATGGATTCTCGAATTTCGCGCGCAAAGTAAGGATAAATCAAAACACCCATTCTTAACTATCGAGGGGGAAAAAGTATCGAGGAAGTTGTGATTTCAGAACGTAAAGTGACATGAACAAATTTGCAGACGTCGACACAGTTATTAAGAGCGAGATTATTTTCGTGATTGGTGACTGCTGTCGCATCTCTCGTGGGCAGTGCACGTGAAGAAAATCGCCATCGGTGTGTGAGCCACAAATACGGTTTACCGTGCTTTTATGTACACCATCGAGACAACACGAACACAGCAATAACTTGGCTGGCAGCCATTTCGACCATTTAGTCAACGAGAACAAGGAACAAGTACATAAATTAGAAACACGGTCGTCCGTGAGATTTCGGAGGTGCAATCAGCAAGACAAGCAAGGGAAAGGTGGGTACAGTGACAGAGAGATCACGGTTGGACTCACTTTTGGTGCGCTTCATAAATTGTTCTGTTCTCTGTTTCCACGTTTTCTCGTTGGTCTCCGCTAAGAGCGTGTCATAGCCCTGCGATTCAATCGACAATATGCTCACTAATCGCTATCTTTATATATATATACATATGAATATATTAAGTTTATTCCTATAATGTTTTTTATAGTTTATTTTATGAGTTATGTAATGAGAACGAATTCTTGCTTTTATATGTATGTGTGTATATATATATAGTTGTCTTCATATCTGTGGTAGATCACGTGTTTTAATGTAAAAAATTCACGTGAACGTATCACAAAGTGAGACAATTCTATATTAGGTTTGACCTCGTATTCTGAGAGTAGGGACCATCGAATAAATTTTCATGCGTTGAATAAATTATAAGATGTACTTACACCTTCAAAAAGTTTCTTCTTGTCGTCGTAAGACCTGGTATCGACGCGACGTTCGTACTTCGAGGCAACTTGGATTTTTGGCTGTGAATAAAGTGATTCGATTAATGGTGATTCTTCATGCCACTTTCATTTTCTGATATGATAGACATTACGTACGGGATATTTGCCAGTTAAAGCCTCGGGATCGAGACCCTTTTTCAAGGCTTTATGCCTCAGTTGTTGCTTCTGACGTTCCTTCAGCTCTTTAAGCTGCGATAAAAGGGCAATATCGATTTATCAATACAGCTAGAAAACAACTTGGACTATAATTAAACTCACGTCCGAGCAACTTATTTCCCAAGCGGAAACAGTCAATGCATATTTCTTTTCCTTTCTCTTTATTTTTACGAGACCCAATGGTATAAAATTATTACGCGCGCGTATAAATAAATCTATCTTTATGCCCGTTAAAATCAGACGAAATAATTCAGTTTCTTTAGAATTGTAAAAACTCACATCGTAGTCTTGACGCTTTTGTCGCTCTTCCAAATCGTACTTTTCGGTTTCAAGTTTGACTATGGCCTCCCACAATTCGGTAGCCTTAACACGGAGCTTATCAATGGACAGACCTTCGATTTCCAACGGCTTGATGCGAATGCTAAGGGAAATTTTCTTCTCTTCCTCGAGCTGTTCTTTCGTCTTGTTACGTTCAAGTTGCGCCGATGTAAGATTACCCTAAATTTACATAAGAGAACCCTAGTTATACAATAGAATATCTAATTGCTGCTGACAATGAAAAGAGCACTCACCGAAAGATCTTTCTTGGTGATGGTAAAGTTTGGACCCTTTGCTTTGCTCTGGTCTTTCATCGCTTGCATCATAGCCTGTCGCTTCTTTTCCGATTCCTCCAGACGCCTAAAATACAGCAAATGAATGTAGCAAATAAAAACAACGCACAAATATGTACATACATATATTACTAATAATGAGAGTATTTCTTTAATTTAATGGAAAAATATTCTTCTTATAAAAAATATAAAAACATAGATTCTATTCTGTACAAAGTAGTTACATAACTAAGCATTAATGATAAATTTCAATAGTATGTATGTACTATAATAAATTGACAAGTTCAATCAGTTGAATTCTTTTGAATTGAAACAACTCACATACGAGTATAATTCTTTTGATTTTATAATTTATGTTTTGACGAAGTGAAAGAAGGCCAAATTAAAATCATATTTGACGTGATAAAATATTTACATTGCAAGTAACGGTTTATATATATATAACAAGAAAAGTCAAATTATTTATATCGCAAAGTTGTTATATAGAATAAACATTCATTAACGATAAATATTCATTAACGATGACGAATGTCATACAGTATTTTTTATGCTCTTTTAGTAATATAAATTATTTAACATTTCTGCGATTGTTACATAATCGAAATATTAATGTCGACAATCGATTAGTTCTTCTTTCTCATCAACATTTTGTGTCAAAGAAATTTCTTTTATTTACTCTATGTAATTCATTTGTTGTTTTAGTATAAAATTGAAGATTCAATTGTTTAGAAAGGAATCGATATTTGATAGTAAAATTTTTTATGCATAAAATGATATGTACCCGTTGTTTAGAAATCTGCAGTCATTATATTAGTTCGATATTCATAGGTCGGTTCATATATAATATTTAAGACCGTCTTAAATGCAATTTCTTAGGATGTCGTAAACCGTTCATACAGTATTAGCATCTTAATAGATATTACGTAGACATTACTTAAGTCATTACTTAAGACATTACTTAGACATTATTTAAGGCATTACTCTCCTGAGACGGTTTTAAAATAAAAATAGACTACGACCATTATATGTACATACACCGATCATTATGACTTGTATTCATAACGCGCTTATAACAATGTTAACGCGCATTTAGCACGTAGTTCACGTTGCATACATTATAAAATTTCAGAAATAAAAGCGCGCATTTATCGATGAATAATTGTATAAATAACCTACCTTCTCTTCTCTTCGATGTCACGCTGTTTCTTCTCCTCTGAAAACAATATTAAAGAATTTTATTAAATTCTGTTCAGAGAAAAAAAATAGAGATGGACGTAAATGCATTTACCGATTTCACGTTGGCGACGTTCCTCCTCTTCCTTCTTCTTCTGAGCCAGTCTCTTCTCCTCGTCCGCACGGGTGACCTTGCGCTTGGCTTGCTTCTCCTAAAACAGTATATTTTTCAAAAGTCAAACGAAATGTTAAGCGAGAGTACATTAAGTACAAATAAGGACAGATCGTACCTTTAATTTCTTCAACTCCTCCTCCTCCTTGGCTCTCTGCTTTCGCCATTCCGCTATGTATTCTTTGAGCTGTTCGTCTAGGTCGCTTCTTTTCTGTTCTTGCCTCTAAATTTTCATAATAGATTAGCCGTAATACGTATTTGATTGCGTCTCCCTTAACGATCGTGCTAGTGCTCAATACGTCTCCAATGCGATTGATAAAGCAGAACTTAAGGAGACACGACTCATTGAATTGATGTCAAATCGATACAATAATTTCGCCATCAATTCAACGTTGATTCGATATCTAATTGCTATTTCGTTTCTTGCTGGAATAATAGTTTTCATACCAATATACATTTCCGCAAAAGATCTTTTTCCTACGTAGGTGCTACAAGCGCACAGAGAGTTTTGGGCATTCGCACGGTGTTATTTACGAGCATCAGCACTCACCTTCATAAACTCAGGATTCTCGCCAGATTCCCTGAAGGAGGCCGGAGTGAAAACAAAAGTAACTCTCTTTAAATCACGACGGTTGAGCCCGCTCTCTGGAAGATCTCGCGAGATCCCCCAGAACTCCATACGCGATTCTCACGTCCATATCTTCACTACTTTATTACAACTCCATCCATTCTCTCCCGTAGTGCATATTACTTAATGCCGCTCGTCGCACGTATACACACACAGACAACACATGGACGGAACAGACAGACAGACAGATATATGCACGGATGGATAAACAGAAAGTCAGAGAAAAATATAGAGCGGGACAAAGGGGGACGGAGGCGATTTGTGAAAGAAAGAAAATAAAAGAGAAGAGGAAAGAAAAAGAAAGAGGCAAATAGTAAGGCGATAAGGTGTGCAAGCGTATAGAATTATAGAGGGATGAAACCAAAGTGCGCACCGCAACGAATCATGGGAGAAGGCATTAATGAGAGTAGCGAGGAATGTTTCATCTCTCAGGTAGAACACTGAGTTACATAATTATATCATAGGTCATCGTCGTGACGTTATTTAACACTTAAAAATGAACTTACAAGCGACGAATAAGGTCGTGATGACGTACTTATGACTATTATTATGATTTCTGGATTCTACTTGAGATGACTGTCTTGATTGAGTTATTCAGTCGTATAAGGATTATGGATTCGTAAATGACTAAAAGAGCTATCGGTGACAATAATATAGCGCGTGCGAGATACGATTCAGGAGATGACAATATTGAGCATCGCAGGCTCAAAGTTATTTTTAAACGTGTTTAACATAAATTCGCTCGACTTTTCAAACCGAACTGAAGATCAATCTATTTCATGGAGACACGTTCCGTGTCCTGAAAGACACTCCTGAAGAAAAGGGGAGGATACCGTAATCGTTATTTGATTTCGGCTTTCCTTCCCCTATTTTAAAACGTTCCGTTAAAATTTTGTACACATCTTTCTTTTGGAAAATTTATATACCTCGTAAAAAATATGGGGATGTAAAAGTTGTTTATTCATGGGATCTGCGAGCGGGGGTATTGCAATTATTGCTTGCTTGCGAGTCGATGAATTATGGCGCACAAGTCAATATAAATTAATATGGGGGATCGGACAAAATAACGAGCCTTGAGATAGAAGGACGTGTGACACATCGCTTTGACGTAACTCGAACAAGACGTGATTATATACAACACGTTAATTCATTATTAATCAGAGAGACAAAACGTAAAACACGCGGGGGTGCGAAAGAGATATAAAGATTATAATAAGTATGAGGAAAACATAGGGGGAGAGAGGAACTTCGAACACTGACAACGAGAGTGATTAGACGTCACCGACAGGATTGAAATCCAGAGCATCGTACTCACGTAAATTACAGTTCCGGCTTAAAAACGTAAAATATGAGTATTACATGATTTTTCACGCAGGATTCGATTTTCGTCCGAGTTTTCGTGATTCGCGCGAGACAAAAATAAAAAATGTAAGAGGATCCACGATCGGATTTGCAATTTTCGTGTCACACGAGGGTAAATATTAGTTCAAACTGCAAATATACTTCTGGCTGTACATGGTTCGTTGTACAATTTTATTTGGCAAATCCGCGAGTACGGAGATTGAGCATAAATATGTAGCATTGCAGATGCTGCATTATGTATCGAACGGCCGGCCGTTAATAAGATCACGTCGGCGCCGGGGCGTGGTACATTTTGAGCAGACGTCGGTCTCAGAATAAACTGTGTTACGTTATTGTGCATATATTTATGAGACGCCTGGCGGGCTCCCAAACGGAGCTCAAGTGTCGTCGCGCGTTAGCGTTATGCAACCGCGATGGAATATTCACGAACGCCTGCGATGTACATACCACCGGCGTGCGGTACCTTCGACAAATATATCCTATTATTATTCACAGTCGCGCTACACAGGCCAACGATCGCGTTATCCGTCCCGTATCTGTAAACAAAATCTTCCCCCAGCGATATAGATAGATATTGGCAAATCCACAACGCGCCGCAACGCGATTGCAACGTCAAATCTCGGTCTCCTGCGATCTCATTCCTGCCACGAGACGAAAAATCTCAGAGGGTTTTTAATGCCGGTTTCACCGACGTCAGTCAGCTTCAATCGCCAATTTTGTCATTCACACTGTCGGTTTCCAAAGAGAGGGAGGTAAAGATCCAAATCGAGATTTATCGCGAATCATACAGTTTAAGATAAATCAGACGGAAAATCGGTGAATCAAAACAAACTGACTTTGTTTCGATGCTGTGAGAGTTGAATTAATAATTTTTTTTTTGTTACAAAATTTGACTGTTATTGACGTTAAGTTTAAAAATAGTTGATTAAATTTTTTATTAACTTTTTTGTATGTTCCTCGGGTTGAGGCGAAACTTATAAATATCTTTACCGGTCTTTTTCACCCGATTTATCGCAAAACTGTGTCAGTAACGAGATAATTCTTTTCACTTTTAGAAAAAATTGAAGAAAAAGATGTCGTTTTTCTAAAGAGATTAAGATTTTGTGTGTTCTTATCGAATTTAATCGACGTCGGAAAAACCAATGGGCGGGGAAGGGGGATGTGAGAGAGCGGGCGAAGAACAGGGAAGACATATTATTGACGTGTAAACACCTCGACATATTCAACTTACTTTTGGGACGCCCTACCCCTAAAAAAAAAAGAAAGTACAGATTCATTAATAAGGTCGTGTGATTGGTCGTCGCTTACGTAGGACTGCACAAAGCTGCACGTAAATTATAAAAATCGGTATCGCTCATCTCCAACTTGCGCTTTCCTTTCTTTTCATTTCTTTTCCGTGCAAAATTAAATTTCCGAACCGATCACGCCGACAATGATAATTGATTTGCACGTTTATTGCCAGAGATCACTGGTCGTTCCGACACTTACATTGCGAGCGAATGATCGGTATGCTTCGCTTGCTTTCAATTATTTAAGCGGCTCGTCGTTACTTTCTCTTCAACGGGGATCTCGTAGCGCTTTTGCAAAAAAAGAAAAAGAAACGTTTCGTTGCCCATTTGCCATATAATGCGGATATAACAGAGGCTGAATATTAAGGCGACAGATATTCTTGACAGACACGACGAGGACAAAGATAAGGCGTTTGGAAGAAAGTGCGGGGTGTGACATGTGTATACTTTTGCAACTGCATCTCGGTCAATCCTGTCAAAATTGCTGAAAGGTCCGACGTCTTGTTACGTCATACGTAGTCTCATAAGTGAGATACGTGAGTTACGTGTATAATGTGCGTGTACATTTGTGTACATACATAAAAAAGCGCGATAGCATTGCTGTTTATTTTTGGTTTGTTTGTTTGTTTGTTTAATTTTTTAATCCATCGACGCAGAAACAGCGACACAAGACAGACGTTGAGAAGACAGCGGATACACCGGCGGCGGCAGAACGTATGTATATTTGTATTTTACTAAAGTTGAAATAGAAACAGAGAGGTGTGCAGGATGTGGATACATCAGCGTTGATTCTTTTTCAGACAATGTTGCACAAAAAAGAAGAACTAGTCATACTAAAAAGTGTCTTTCATGTAGTGGTGCGAACAAAACCGATAGAAGCGTTTTGCAGCGATTGCGCAATCACATTCTTCTTTCATGTGTAACAATTTGGCGAGAGAAAAAGAATAAAGAAAGAGAGAGACAGAGATATGGAGGGAAAAGGGAAAAAATAAACAAATAGAGATAGACAGAGAGAGAGAGAGAGAGAGAGAGAGCCAGCAAGTGTATCACTATAAAAAAATTCTATGCAAAAGTAAACGACTGCGGCGGCACAGCGCGTGTGAGATGATGAAAACAAAGTAAAGAGAGAGAGAGAGTATAAAACAGAGAATGGACGAACAATTAAAGACTACACCGAGACAACAAGACAAGACAGCGATTAGACAGCGGGGAAGAAAAAAAAAAAGAAACGACACTGAAAGACGACAGCGCGTGAACGTACACTATTTATTGGCCGTAAAAGAAAGAGAGATAGAAAGAGAGAGAGAGAGAGAGAGAGAGAGAGAGAGAGAGAGAGAGAGAGAGAGAGAGAGAGAGAAACGTTCATATTTGTCGTGTGCAAAACTTACTCGGTCTTCTTCTCCGGCTGCCTTCGATTTTGACATTTTTTGTATCGTACCGCGCGGGTCGATTATCCGATCGGTCGATGACGAGTGACGATTGATATTGATTGGTTGATTGGTTGGTTGGTTGGTTGGTTGGTTGGTTGGTTGGTTGGTTGATTGGTTGGTTGGTTTTGTGTGTTGTATGTGGAGATACACACAGACAGAGAGAGATACAGGGAGTGAATAAACAAAAAAAAGAACGAAGAAGACGGAGTTCATAAATCACAATCGGAAAGAGAAAATCTGGCGTGTTGCGCGGCGCAAACGAGGCTTCGGAAAAACGATTATTCTTCATCTACGCTCCTCTCACTATAACGATTCATCGTGCGTTCCGTTGCGTGTTCGTTAGCTTTAATCTAACTTGACGTTCTAATTTTACGAGAGAGGAGCATCGACATACGTTTCCAGGAAACAGAGAAGAAGAGAAAGAGCAGCTCCGGTCTTGCTTTTTTCGGGTCTCTATAAATCTTATGCTTAATAAATCGCTGAATTCCGCACATAAACGTGAAACGCCGTATCTTACAAATAGATACGCGTTCTTACACACAGAAAAATACATATTATACGCAAAAAGTAATTGCTCGTTTCAAGTATTTTAAACGTTCATACATTCGATCATAAATCTATCATAAATGCATTACTATAAGCATTTTTATTCAAAATATACATTCTAGTAAGTTTAATACTCTCTCTCTCTTCAATAAAAATTATTAAATTAAAATAAATTCGATTTGCTCTTATTATATAAAGTTTTAGATCTTGTCTAAAGTTTCTCTTCAATCAACTTTATATTATTTAAAAAAAAAAATAATAACTTCTTGTTTTGATAGATAAATAATAATGAATGTTTCTAAAATTTGTAATAAAAATAAGTATTATAATATATTTTAATATTACTTTTAAGAAAATATTTTTTATTACAGATAACCGTTATTTAGAAGAGAGAAAGGAAATTGAGTAATCGCTTTTCTTAGCAATAGAGTGATATTTTTCTGTCTGTACTTCGTAGAAAGAAGAGAGAAAAAATAAATTAGGTATGTCTGTGCTAATTTGAACTCTTAACTGGAAACAAACTATCAAAAGCTTTTTATCGCGAGATCAGAACGGACATTTTCGTCGCGATCGCGTCTTCGCAGTAGCTACAGCGCTCGTTACAAGCCTTTGAAACTTACTTCCTGAAATGAGAAAACGAGACAAGTAGTACGTTAGAAAAACAGGAAAGCATTTCATTGGGAAAGCATTTAACGAAAGTGAACACTTACACTTCTTCGACTTCCTCCTCGCTGCTGCAAAAGAGAAAATGGAAAAAAAGTCTAGTTTAGTCAGGGCGGAAATCAATGTGGGCGATCGGGGCGTTTGATTACGTAATAAAAAATGGAGGAGAGCAGGAATTAAGATTCACGAGGGCATCACTTTTACAAGAGTTAGGGGCGCAGGTCTTTTCTTAGGGTTGCTTAAAGCTCTTGCTTTTTTTTTCTCTCACGCAGATTAATTACCGTCAGTATATATGTGTATCATTATGTAAATTTTACTTTGTACACTGAGAAAAATAATCTGGTTGGATTAAATAATGATTCTGAATGAAAAAAAATGGTCGAATCAGAATTTTTCTGGTAAAAATAAGAACTTTAGTAGATTTTACAAGAAATACAATTCCAACTAGAATTCTAATAATCAAAAAATTCTAATTACAAACAGAAATTTTGTTTAGCGTAATACATAAATTTGACAATGAATTTGTAATTTAATTTTGCTGCTAAGTACAATGTGTGTGTGTGTGGTTGACGTCAAGTTTTTATTTTTAATCGCTGCATTGAAGAAAATGTATTAAATTTTGCTACACACATTTCTTTAAAAAATAAGTAAACATTTACTTACAGTAAATAAATATTTACAAACACATAATGAAATCAAATTAATGATTTTTATATCAAATAAATATATGTTTATATATGTATAGTAATAATAAATATTTATTAAATAAATACATATTTACTAAAAATTTAATATTTTTTCAGTGTAGATGCGGTAAAGGCGATTTATCGAACTTTATTTTGTCTCTCCTTTATTGCGATCTGAAAGTGGAATTTCTCGTAATGTCCCCTCATAAAATAACAACTAAACAAATTATATATAATTTAATGAGAAAATATAGTACAGTTACACTGTTCTAGAAAATTTAAAGTGGCTATGCAAGAGAAGAAGCACATGAAAAATAATAATAATAATTGCAAGCACATCATTGAGTAACAATTAGAAGTCGACTGAAGTGTCCGAGTTTAGCATTGAGTGCTTATTAAGGGGTTTGTGCGTGGGTGCGATTGGGACGTGACGCACGCAGGGACGGGCATCGAGACGGCAAAATTAGACAAACATGTGAAACATTAAACATGACGAGGTCACAGATCATGGGCGCTGTTCAACCTTACTTGAACGAACTTTAAACTTCGCTCGGGCTTTTCGTTCGTACGAAATATGATCAACGATCAGCGAACGTGTGTTACGATCTTGTCTACCGCTTCGATTTTGGCAAAGATCCGATTTCTCATGTCTGGAAATTACTGGCATATATCTCGACATTTTTTTCACGCATTATTTCGAGCTACTTATCTCGGAGAGCGGCGATATCACGTACCCATAAATCACGAAATATTATATTTTTTGAATGCTTTATAATAAAACAATATCAATTCTTATTGAAACGCGCTAAATTTCAAACCAAATGAGACAATGCTACAGCGATCTAAGCTGGATCGCAGATGCTTCTAAAATAATTGTGTGTGAATTTATATACTCTACGAATGTAATTTTTCGATTGCTCGCCGACATTTTTGCCTCGATAGTCTAATGATAATTCTATAATGTGCTCATTCACACGCAATTATTTAGAAGCACCCGATCCAGCTTAGACCGCTGTGGCATTGTCTCATTCGGCTTTGATAAAATATTTTAGAAATACCTATTTGTAAAATTTTTTTTAATATTGTATTAAAATACTTTACAAAAATATTTTAGAATTGTACAAATGTTGTACAAATATTATAAGAACAAAATATTTTTAATATTCTGATTTCCTGAACATGTTTATATTTTTTAAATATTTCATGAAAAATTTCTGAAAAATATTTCATGCTGTCTGGATATTTTGAAGATCGTTTATTTTGAAAATTATGCAAATCTTCTATTTTCCACAGAAATAAAGAAAGAAATAGGCAGAATCTTTTTATAGCAAGCGCGTGAATTTTGTACGCCCTTGTCGGAATTCGTGATAGTATTTTAAAATTGGAATTGCATCAGTTTCAAAATAAACTATTGAGAACTGCGAACGCGGACAATGCACGGATGATAATTTATATCAATCGGTGTTGGTTTGAAAGTAATGATCGATGGGCTACTTACGAGTATTGTTCCTCGTCGTCAGACATGTTGACGGCTGTTTAAAGCGCTGCAACACAAAAACGAGATGTTGATTACTGGGTTGATTTGCAAAGTCAACGGCGAAAAAGAGAAAGCGAGAGAAAGATTTTTTAATCGCAGAGCGACTGAATAAAAATACGCGTTTTCACGTTAAGATTCGCTAATTAGATGGACCCTACTCGATGGAGGTTGCACGATGAAAGAATTGCGTAGTTCAGAATATGAGTGCTTTCCATTTGGTGATACAAGTCGACACAAGCATTCTTCTATTTTTCTTAGCATTTAATAACACAGAGAGATAGAATGACACTTGTATCGACTTATGTCACCAAATAGAAAGCGCCCTTATCGCGTAGCATAACACTTATATCATCCTTGAGTAAAATCGTCGTAAAAGCGAGAATCGGGTGACGTTGAACACGGCTGTCACTATTCTTGTAACTCGACCATTCGTGTAACTTGGTGCCGGTACCATCTTCTTTTTATCGTAAGCACGTCACGATCAATCCCGCGTGAACAATGAGAACACTTGCTAGCATTGCGAAATTCAGAAAATAATGAAGATCGAAAGATAGAAAATTGGAAACCTCACCGGTTACAGATTACGTGGAAGAAGAAGTCGGAAGGGCCAGACGAGAGAGAAATCGACAAGGGTAGGCAGGGGGCACCCGGAGAAAGAGGCACGAGGGGCGGATATGTAGAAAAATGCCTTGCGCTTGGCCGAACCTTGCGTGGAAAAGGGGTACCCGGAGGAAAGCCGAAGCTGAATGGGCCGGACGGCGCGCACCGACGACGTTTCCGAAGTAATCCGATACTTCGAGGCGAGAAAGAGAAAATGCCAGTTTGCTAACCCTGGCCGCAAGCTCCGGCGTCGCGCTCAAGCTCTATAAGGAGCCGTCCCCTTCTCTGTCACGTCGCTCTAATTTTAGTGGTACAACATGCTCGTTCCCGCATTCCGCTCGTCTTCCCTCGTCGGTTTTCCCGGCTGTTTCTTCTACCGTTCTTTACGTGGATGGAGATCGTCGAAATCGCGGAATTCGTAACACTAGACTACCTGTCTCTGTGAAACTATCGGGAAGCGAAATGTGAGTCGCTTTCCAGTATAAGAAACACAGACTGACACAGTGAATTGTTTGCCAATGTAAAACCAGGATGAAATGATTCACTATATGTTATAATGTATCTTTGCTGAAAAAAGTCCTGTGTTAAGCTGCGTGATCAGATTAGAGATTGAGATTGAGATTCATGGATTCGAATTTAATCAATGAAAACAAAGTTTACTAAACTTGAGATTAGCTTTCTTCTTTCTGTTGGATTAAATTCCAACCAAAGCTCAATCTCAATCTCTAGACTGATCATGGCTTTACTCTGAGTCCTTACTGGAAAGAGCAACCTTCTTCGTAAAAGCTTCCGCGATACACCCGTCGGATTTTCGTATCATTGGAATATTTCCATACAGCACGGACTGTTGAAAGAACATTCTGAAGACATTCAGAGGATATCTTAAGCCGTAATTAGATTAGAAATTGAGATTGAGATTCGATTAGAATTTAACCAATCAAAGTTCACTAAACTTGAGATCAGCTTCCTTTCTTCTGATTGGTCAAATTCCAATTCAATTTCAACCTCAATCTGTAATCTGACTCACTACTTGAAGAACGTTCTCAGAACATCTTTTGATAAATATGCTATAAGGCGATGTGCATCCAGGACTTTGCAATTAAATCGTAACTCGCCATTATTTTCAAAATGGATTAAATTCAAAGTACGGAACTGTTCATTCGACGGACAATAAACTGCTAACGAGAAGTAATGTCTTTCATTTCACACCTTCGTCCGATGTGTCACAAATTTTGCGATTTTATGAGTTCTTCTTTCGACACGGAGGAAATCCAAATTTAACTCGGAACGTCAATAATACGAATCTCAATAATAATATATAGTAACAAAAATATTGTACAAAGAAAATAAGGTAAACGGATATAAAGAAAGAAAATTCGAGAAGGGTCTTTCGAATCACACGATTAATCCGCATTGCAGATAAAGTTTCCGAGAGTCATTAATTTACGTCGCAAATTAATGACTCGGATACCAAGCAAAATAACAAATGCACCACGCGTTCTTTCATCAATTAACTTTTTCCACGTAATCATTCACTTGCACGTCTACCGCAAAGGTAAAACATTTTTCACTGATGCGCGCTAATTCTTTCCACTGAACGAGTAGATAAAGTCGCGCTTCGTGTGGACACGGCTACGTATTCCCGAGATTTCCACTGGCCGGGCGATCTGCTGCTGAAGAATATCGTTCACTTTTCAATTCGAAAGTTCTTGGCATTAAAAAATGCAAGATCCTCTTATCGAGTAATTACACAGTGGTCTATTGATTCTCCTCGGAGAATCTTTTCTCCTTCGAACCTCGAAACTTCGCTAAAACATTTGCCAAGTGATTTCGCTGTGAGCAATCGCGAATTCCTCGGCAATGTAAACATTGTTGATGCGAAGAGAATTTCCAGCAGAAAGATTTCTCAAGTTAATTTGCTTCGTATCGTACCACGGTCGTTTTCACATACACAGCAATCACACACCGCAGGAAGAACGTAGACGCGCAGTTCATCACGAATGTTCTCCAGAATGAAGATTAATAAAAAAAAAAAAAAAAAAAAAAAAGCGAGGGGATGCGCCGATCGACGGAGGCGGCGAAAGAAGAAAGAGATGAGAAAGAAAAGAGAAAAATTCGAGATTATTGAATGCAGAATGAAAAATGTTGAACTTACACTCGGGGTTGGTGTCAATGCGTGTGGACAAGTGCGCGCGCGCGTGTGTGTGCGTGCGCGAGCGCGTGTACGTGGACGTATATGCGTGCGTGTAGAGGGTTTTCACGGGGGTGGTCCAGCTGGATGAAATCGCGAGGGAGAAAAGAAAGAGAGAGAGAGAGAGGGTGAAACAGGCTCCCGCACACTCCGCAGGAGGACGCGAGAGAAAGAGAGAAAGAGAAAGAGATACACGCACACGCACAGGAGGAGCTTGTCCCGGTGGAATGTGGAGTCCGCGACAGCCTGAGCCGCTCTGAGGTCCGCGAAATCATCACGGCCGGACATCAGCGGGACTCCGGGCGACGTGCCAGCTCCGCTTTAGAGTCTCTCATTTCTTCTCTTGCCTTTCTTTCTCTCTCTCTCTCTCTCTTATTCCTTTTTTTTCTATTAATAGAACGGTGATCCGCGTACGCACACACGCGGACTACCGGGAGTGATACGATCCTATGGTTGATACTATTTTCGTGTCTTTTGCCAGCGAGTCGCACGCCGCGCTTCCAACTCAGCTCCTGCGGCGGTGACTCCGGTTCTCTTCCGCTGGATGATTGCTCCAAAGTAGGCCTGTCACGATGTCACGTTCCCCACTTTCCGATGGCTGTTGACAATGGTGAACCGGCTAATCCGCGAGTCCCGCCAGATCCGCTAAAAATCTGCTTGATTGTTGAAAGAATCTGGACTTTTAAAATGAATACGGTGGTACATCGAAAATTAGCGAGATTCATCCCTATTCCTCTCCGCTACCCTATAATGCATGCACACGTAATTGTGTGTAATTTATTAATTATAATATATGTACTATTATGACACTTTAATTTTTAATTAATAAATTTTAATAAATATAATCTCTCTAGTGGGGTTAATTTATAGTAAATGCTTCATTATAAAGAAGCATTTATAGTGTTTTTTTTTCAAACATTACGATAGTTATAATTAAATATAATACTTTGTAACGGTATATTTCGCATTAATAAAGTTGAGAAGTTTAAAATGATATTTAATGTGTTTATAATACACCTAAGAGAGAGCATACAGCGGCACGGTAATGAATCTAAATAAAAAAGATAGAGTTTGAGCGATAAAATAGGAGCTACGATAAACGAAAGTAGATTGTTTGAGGTTTTATTGAAGGTGTGATGAATCGCCTAAAACGCAAAAGAAAGGAGGAGATCTTATCAGTATCATTGTCGTCGGCGTCGAAAGCTTAAGTTCGGTACTGTAATCGCGAGGTGCCTCGATCCTTATATGGAGAGAGGCGTATGTGGGAGTCCGCGATGATGCAGTATAAAGTTGCCGGCGAACGCGAATATGATCTTCACGGTATATATCTAAGACTACCTCTCGAAAATTTAACGCGAAATTGTTCGTCCAATTTGGGAGACAAAACACGATGCGCTTGTCCATTTCAATGACAGCTGTCGCGCAAATTACATCAAATACTCTGTAAATTCTTTATACTATAAATCTACTAACATTTTTGACGTTAAAATAGTAAGAGCAATGTGATAAAAATTACAGAAGCAGACGCTTATACTCAAATAAAAAAGCCCATGTTCAGTGAATTGCTTTATTAATGTGTTAGAATAATATAAAAAAAAAAAAGAGAGAGAGAGAGAGAGAGAGAGAGAGAGAGAGAGAGAGAGAGAGAAGGAATAAAAAGAAGGCAATAGACGATGGAAATAGTGTCATACATATCAAAGTAGAGGCTATTTATCTCTTTTTGGCTTTAAAATATTAGGTACAATTGGTCGTTTAAATGGTCTATCCTTTCCTCCGAATCTTAATTGACCTGATTCTTTTTTGCCACCAAAACCACCTCCTAAAAGATCACAGATATCAGACATTATATAAAAATTCTTGATATTTATTTATAAAGATTATACATATTTAATTACTGATTGCATACCAAGTCTCCTCGGTTTCCATCCCTTCAAACTACGGCCACATTCGTAATCAATAAAAATTTGATATCCCTTTAATGTGGCATCGACAGCTCGTCTTAACACTCTTCTAGCTTCCTCTTCACTTTTCATTTCCACGAAACCATATCCTTGAGAGAATCCAGTTACTACATCTACTATCACCTTCGCCGAAATAACATCCCCATATTTGCTAAAAAACTAAACAATAGCAATATAATGTATACAAATAATTACATAAAGCATATAATTTCCAAATGTATCGTTTTTTGGACAACTCGTACCTCTTTTAGATCATAATTAGTAATTTTGGGACCAAATCTAGCTACAAATATGGTTCTTTCCGTCTTAGATTCTAAATTGTGCGGTGGCTCATAATGCATCATCATTGCTCTACTAACAGCCTTGTCATGAGGTTGCGTATCTGTCCCGTCGATACTACCTGCTTTTAAGGGATCGTACTTTCTGGCATAAGGGCTCCAATTTTGCAACACATTCTCGTTCTAAATAAATATATTAAAAAAGCTAATAAACTACCATTTTTATTCGATACAAATCATAAATTACTATTATTTAATATTTTTTAAATTAATTAATTGCTGTTAAAAACAATATTACATTAATTATTAAGAGAATTGCGCTATATAACCTAAAACTATCATTTGTATTAATATAATTCTGTGTATGTATTCGCAGCTTAATATCAATTAACAATTTATCTATTTTTCCAATGTTTTATTAATAAAGAAAAACACTCACCATGTTGAATATATTTATGGCACTAAAAGCGCATTCAAATATTTAGTACATGGACCACTCATTTGACGAAGAGTAAACAAAATAAACTGAAGCACCATCTATGTCTTTCAAAATGGGTGAGGAACTACGTAGCACATTTGTAAATTGTCCTATTGGGTAATACAGTTTTAATTGTCTTCCTGCTGCACCACGCAAAATATAAAAAAATTATATGTATATATTATAAATTTGTAATAACGTATCAATATAATATATTAAAATTGTTAGTTTAATTTGCAATAATTTACATTATAATTTTTTACAGAAGGTGTAAGACAAAATTATATAATCATCTCGGCTAACAAATGCGCTCGATTACATGTCGTACATTATTTATTAATTAATTTAGCTTATTAAGTAATTGCATTGCAAATAAAACTATCGCAAATAAACTATCGCGATTGCAATCTTATATTTCATATAAATGATACATGACGCAAACAAATTAAACGAATCGTATTACACGTGTCTAGAGGACGGGTGGAGACATTATACCTATAAATATATGGGGTGACTCACGTAATTCGAACGGATCGTATTCTCCTTCCAAGAAGCTCAAATTGTTCTCCTTTCCGTGATTCTTTTGCATGACTTATTCTGCATGTTCGTTCATTTCATACATTATCAAGGCTCTGTTAAATGAAATATATTTATTTCTTAATAAGTTATTTATAAGTTACTTTTTTATATGTTTGTTATAGAAATTGAGTACAAAAAGTTATATAAAATTAAAGCAAATGGTAAAATATAATATAAAAAATAAAATATCCGAACTGTAATTGTACTCAATTTCTATAATAAAAAGTAAATTATAAGTAACTTTGGCAACCCTGTTATACATAATCTCAGGTGCGCATTTATTTCATGTGCACACATAATGTAGTGTTTTCAAAATATATATATACACAGTACATATGTAATATATACACATATACGCATAATATAAATGTATGCACCCTCTAGCGAAAATAAAAAGTAGAGCATAAGTCGAATGTAATAACTGAGAGAAAATTATATGATCCATGTAAAATAGTTGCAGGAAAAATTCAATTTTATTGAATTTTAATCAATAGGATATGTACTTGCATGACTGCAATTCGCTGACAAATTATTCGCTTAACTGTGCGCGCGGAATATAGTGGATGTTTTTCATTCAATTCAGCATTTTGCGTGACAATAGGGAATACGACCTCATTTTCAACCACAATCGAATGATTACGCCAGAATTGCGCTCCTATTATTTCATTTTAAATAAAAATTATATTCTTGTGAATTTTATTCATTTATGTATATATCTGTCATGAATTCTGTAACTATAAAATCCGACATAATTAGTCCAACAAGCGTTGAACAATTATACTGTAGGAATAATGCAAGGCAATACATAGAAATATACAGATATCATACGGATGATACATGTTTATTATTAAGTACTCAGCGAAACTCGACTCATCGATGTCGATTCGATGTTGAATTAATAATTGAAGAACTGATGATCTCGACATCGATTAAACAACCCTACTGAAAAAAGTCACATCACAAAATTACATAACGAAATCATGTAATTATTAAAAACAAGTAAATTACATGAGTTCCAAATTATTACCGTTTTTTTTTAAATCACATAATTTGAAAAATCATATGATATTAGAAATAATATCATTTGTTATGTGATTTTATAGTCATCAAATTTTAAGGAATTAAATAATAGGAATAAAAAGAAAAAACATATTATTGTGTGACTTTTCAGATTACGTGATTTAAAAAAAATTACGTACTGATTTGGAACAATCCGTTACGTAATTTACCTGTTTTAATTACATGATTTCATTATGTAATTTTGTGACGTGATTTTTTCAGTAGGGAACGATTTGACGTCGAATTGACTGTCATTTCTGGATAGAGTATAACGCGTAAAAAATTACGTTATAATTTCCCAGTGTTCATCTGTCCGTTCGTCTACAAAAATATCTTAACTTTTTCAAATTCTTTTTTGGTAGATATTTAAAAACCTTTAGCTCTACCGAGATAAAAAGTGAATCAAATCAGTTGATCATAAAAAGGTCAAAGGTCGAAATCAATAAGATTTCCATTAATATAGGACAAGTCTCGTTGCAAACCAAATGGCTTAATTTGTTAAATTTTGATTTCTTGCTGTGCACTATACTTGCGTTAATACCGTTATATTTCGTATAACGTCATCAAGTCTGAACGATGTTACCGATATATTAGATCGAATCAAAGTCTAGACGCGCGCCCATCCGTTTCAATGCCAGAATTGTGTTAACAGCCTTAACCCAGCGTTTCTTAATGACGTAGCGTTTCAATCGGTGCTTCTGTATCGGGTTCTCCAGAGCGGCTTCCAGCCAACGATGTTCTATAAGCTTTCCCGCAGTCGGTCTTTTCCTATAGCAAGAAGATTAATCAGTTTCTATTCGCTGTTGTATGGGAGATATGTGGGTGAAGCAATCGTAAACTTTTCTGTGTGTATAGAGTGTACTGTAATTTATATTAAATATAAAATATATATGAACAGTGACTATTTAACAAGAAATATACGTATATATTATTTCAATTGGCTCTCTTGCAAATTTCGTGTAATATACTTGGTAAAAAATCTAGACTTAATCTATTGTGTTTCTCATATTTAATATAATACACGAGAATATATCCAAATAATGTTATTAATAAATAAGAGTACAATACATGTATATTTAAATATAAATATAACAGTTTTCTGTGGAACTTACTATCATATATATGATTGTAGAGAAATAAGAATTTTCGAATACGGAACGAATAATTATTGCGCCATTCTTGTTATTAAAAGCTTCACGATAGATTTAGTAGTTTGCAAGGGATTAAATTGAATCAAAGCGATAGAGATATCTAGCTAGATGAAAAATTGATGTTGTACTGACGCATATAAAAATATTACTAATTGGAGGGTGTGCTGATGGTACACAACTATCGAGAAGTTAGCTTATAAAGTATATAAAGTATGATCGCGTAAACTTTATTTGTAATTCACAATTTTTTTTTGTTATCGCTCTCACAGACTTCATTTATCTAAAGTCACCATCTCCATTATTCATTTTTAATTCTCTGTGAACAAATATCCATGAGAATCTATTTCGAGTTTAATTATAAAGAATTCTATGATGTTGCACTTCTCTTCGTAACGTTTTTTCGTAACCTTTTCTCAAACGTCACGAAATAACAAGATTCTGTTTTGTTTTTTTATTGTATATTCCTTTGTAATCTCTTCTTAAAAATTTAGTCAGTTAAATAAAAAATAAGAATGCACTTATTTGTTATTTGTAACAGTGTTCTCTAAGAAATAGATTAATCGAAATAAATTCAAAAGGGTTAAAAGATTACAAAATCCATTTTCAACTTTAAAGATTAAAGAGGGAGGTTTACATTTTCATAGATCAATTTTTACGATTCAACAAGTATTAATATTATTGCCCTAAGCGTTTCACGCATAAATTTTATCTTAAACGTCAAGCTGTTCCAAAATGACGTTTACGATCGGTAGAGGAAAAAGATTGTCAACGGCGCGCATTTTCCTGATCCATCTACGACCAATTCATGAAATTCGCAAATGCGCAATCTGTAACGGGATAAACGTATCATTCAACGATAAATCGTTGGTGACGTGGATGACGCGACGTCGGAAGATTTCGACTGTTGCTTCGACTGGAAATACTCGGCCAATGAATTCATCGTCTTCCTGGCGATCGTGTCGGCAGCACACCAATCCAGGCTCATAGACTTCCTGCCAATACCACCGGTGCCACCGTTACTGCTGCAGGATGTCGTGGTGACCTCCTCCCATTCACCTAACAGATGCAACAGCAGGTCCTTGGCGCTGCCCGGCTCGTCCAAATTCAGATTCTTGTGTAGGTCCCGCAAATTCGATATCCGCGGAACGTCCCTGCTAGTTTCCCCAAAGGATCGTTTTACTCGCGAGCGCCGCCAAGGCGGCGTCAAGTCCATTTCCTCCGCACCGACGGAAGACCTTCTGCCGATCTTATCCCCGTTGAACTTCTCCTCGAACGCGTTGGTAATCGCCGTCCGTTCGAGGGAATATCTTTGAGAATCCCTTCGTCTATCAGACGTATCGCCATCGCCGATACTCGTTCTCCTCAGAGCCACAAACACGTTATTGAAATTTGTGTCGAAATTGTATTTGTCGAAACTGCGACTGCTATGAAAGGTCGTCCCGTTGAGCTTTCGCTGCCGAGTGATACTGGACAGTTTCTCCGTGATCTCGTTAGACTCTTTACCGACATGAGACGCGGGCATTTTGACGCTGCTCTTCGAGATATCACGATTATTTTCGACATCTTCGACAGGTTTCTTGGTAGACCGTTGCCTTTCCGATGCATCTCCATTATTTTCTTCATTCGTCCGCGATCCCATAGCGATCGAGCGCAAGTGCTCGGACAGTTTGATGATCTCCTCGGCCAAAGCGATCTGACTGGCCGGATCGCGACGATTTCGTGCAGCCGTACCTTCGGAAGCTCTCCTTTCCAAGGACAAGCTGAGACTTGGCACGGGCAACAGGTGGCTAGAATTATCTCTCGCGGTGGAGTCCATCACCCTCTCCGATTGCGTGCTGCTGCTGCGAAGACTGTCGCAGGGAGAGGGACTGTGGCCCCGCAGCGACATGGATTCGTCGCGATCCCGAAGCGGGTTCCTCGGCAACGCGTGATACGAGTCGATCGTGTACGGGCTATCCGGATGCTCCCGCCAACGTTCGACGAACAGTCTGAGATTGTCCTTGGTCACGTCCAACTCGTCTCTGTCGACAACGCCGATGACAGGACGATTCTCGATGAAGGCCATCCTGTTGGCCGCCGCCAATCCCGCGGTCTCCTTCTCGCTCTTGGGTTTGATGATTTTTCGGGCCAACCAGCAGTGCTCCCGGCATTGCGCCGCCGTCATTCGCTTTCTGAAAGATTCGAAAGGCTCGTCGTGAGGATCGAGGGTCGTGCTTTAGTCCCAGGCTCGATAGTGCGTTTCTCTTGTCTCGTGAAGACACGCGGTTCCGCGATCCGATCGAGGGCGAACAATTAGGACGAAAATTTATGAACGAAGAATATACAATATGACGACGTAAACTCGAATATACAAATGTGCTTATGTCGCGTGCGTTATGTATATATGAAATGCAAAATTTTCAATGAAAAGTTATTCGAAAGTAAGTAACTTTACATATAGTGGTGCTCGCTTGATGATACTTCGACGCTGTTGAGACAATAAAATCGTTTCTTAAATGCAATAAGGATAAAATAATAATTGCTGTACAACGTCGAAGCAATGTATGATTACATTTTGCTACTGTCGTCACGAAATGATAGATTCTTATATGTTTAATTACAAGATGAAATTGCTTTTTTTTTTTTTAATTTGCAGTCTGACATACTTATTCATGAATATTGATACATGTGTTCACTGAAGTAAAACATTTTGGCGTAAGATAATAGATATGAAAGTCAGATTAGCCATGATAAGCACGGGTTGCTTGTGAGCCATACACACACCCTCACAACGAGTGAAAGAGAATAATTTAAACGACTCTTCTGAGAGTAGCATCAGGCATAAAGTGCATCAGGGATGAAAGTATTATGAAAAAAGAGATGATATAAGAAGAAAGGAGCGAGGAGAAGAAAGGAATTTGAAAAGAGTAGTATATATACTTAAGTACTCATATATATATATATGCAGCGAAAATATATACTTACTCTTTGTCTTTCACCAGAAGGCATCTTATGAAATCTTTCGCGTCTTCTGAGATCTCGGCGAAGGCCTCGTGATCAAAGTCGTACTTCGCAATGGTAACATTCGCCATTGTCTCTATATCGGTATCGCCCATGAACGGTGATAAACCGGACAATCTGCAGTATAATTAGTTACATGAATAATCTCGATCATCGCGAGAGGTATCTTTTTATGAAGCTGTAATATATACAGGGATCGTAACTTACAACACGTAACAAATAACACCTATGCTCCATATGTCAGTACCGAATCCAATTTGGTCAAAGTTTACGACTTCTGGGGCAACAAACTCAGGCGTACCGAACAACACTTGTAGTTTCTTACTTGGATCGTATTCTCTTGCCAAGCCAAAGTCGATGATTTTAATTCTGTTACCTTCCTTCGTTAGGCACAGGATATTCTCCGGCTACGCAGCAGAACACATTTTAAATAATTATACAAATTTTTAGTAATTGTATAAATAAAATTAGATATAAAGAAAAGAGAGAAGAGAATATATAGTTGATTATATTCCCATTTGTAATAAACAGTTTTGAAATAAATTTTTTAATGTAAAAATTTAGAAATATATGTGTAATTTAAGAGCATGATTAACGACTCACTTTTAGATCGAGATGCAAGATCCTCTGACCATGCATGAATTCTATTCCCTCGCATATTTGCCGCATAAAAACGGCGCAACTGCGTTCCGTCAGTACGAAATCGTCGTCTATCACTCTCTCAAAGAGCTCGCCGCCGTCGATCCTTAAATGATGGAAATTTAAATGTAATCCCGCAGCGCGCGTCTCTTTCTAATCTTACGCTCCCTATGTCGCTGCCCCGTCGGCGAGAAAAAAAACGTACAATTCTAGAACGACATATATCTGTTTCCCCGCGTCAATGGAGTCGTACAGCTGAATCAACCGTGGATGCTGTAAGCGTCGCATAATGTCTACTTCTCTCTGCACAGCGCGTCTGTCTTCCTTCTTCATAACGTTCACCACTTTCGCGGCGAGCATCAAGCCGCTCCCTTTCTCCTTGCATCGGTAAACAATTCCAAATTTCCCCCTATAAAATGGAAAGATCGAAACTCAACGTAAGAAGATAAGCATATCCAGTGGCTGCACACTATTAGTTATGTAAAAAATTAATTAAATTTCCGTTGATCAATATAACAAGTTTAGTATACAAAATCGCGCCTTGGAACAGAATTCTTGGATAATAACGCGTAAAAAGTGATAAATACACACAGGAAGCTCTGCCAAAGCTGTACATCCGCACAGTATGTCCCTGGCGGCACGAGGCAAAATACAACATACTTGTCACGAAGCCAAGTCTGTGAATCATTAAGTTAGGGTATCTAATTGTAAGTCAACGGATGTAATTATTGCATCTATGTATTAATTAAGTTCTATTAATATACATTAATTATTAACATATTTAAATTATTAATTTATTAATCAATTGCGTTACATAAAAAAAAGAATCTCACAAATAGATAGACTGGATGGATATATACTGGAAGATGGATATTGAAGATTGCTCATCTTTTAAAGAGAAGTAGCTGAATCTGAACGAAATTTCTTATCTCAGACGTTACTTTGCTCTTTCTAATATTATCTTATAAAATAAATAAAATTCCTCGTGTTCTCGGCGTTTAATTTATGAGCGACGTTAATATTTTAAAGATAGGAAGAAGCTATATATAAGCACCTCGGCGAGAATCGCGTCCAATTTCGTAGGTAAAATAAAAAATGTTCTCAGTTTATTTCAGCAATCCGAAAGCCGCCGCCGTTCGGATTCTCTTATAAGTTTGTCTATGATTTCGAAATCGTAGCGTAGGGCGAACGCTTTCATTGTCAAACCGCATTCCTAGGTCGGCCGAGTTCACCACCGGTGTCAAGAGCACCGGCACGCCCAAGCTCGACATCGGAACGCAGTTCGACGTGCGTACCGTTTCACTTATGGGTCGAGAGAAACGGATATTTATTTATAGACTATAGACGTATCTCGCGGGTCCTTGATTGCCGGCGCGAACAAGACCGCGCGTGTTCATCTTATCAGCTCGCGCTGCATTCCTCAGACATGCACCTGACAGCAACACACAGCACATCCCAGTAATTCTGTCACTACCGTATGATTTTGTAGAAACGGACCAACAGCTCTGATATCGTTACAGAGAATATCGAACATCCCAGGCAGCACAAACGTCCGAAATACGAAGACATAAGACGTCTTGAAGACATCTTTAAGGCATCTTGTAATTAAATTATGTTTCAACGTGTTTTTAAGATGTCTTATGTCACGATTTTAGACATGGCGCTGTCTGGGACTCAATATTCGAATATAGAATGAAGGTCACACGATGAAGACGTCAAATATTTGTATTTAGACTTCAAGTTAAACATTATCAATGGCTATTATTTCATTCAGATGGAGTAACAGGAAGCGTAAACACGTTGACTATTTTTTACGATCTAGATCAGAAGGATTATCGAAGAAGTGTGTGCCAAAGTTCGATTAGTAAATTAAACTAATTATAACTACGTTAATGTTAATCCTCGTATATATCGACTTCTTAGAAATTCTCTTTCAGTCCCGACATTAAATTGTTTATTGTATCAAGATTAATACGCATCGATTGCGCGTGATTGACACACTATTGGCACGACACGCCAGGCGCGTTTCGTGCGTTCGCTGATCGACGGATTTAATCACTCACCGTCCGAGCTCCGATTGGATGTCATAATCGTCCTTGAACTCGACACCTCGACGTACCGTCACATCTCTATAGGGGAAACTGGGCTCGATCTCTGAAAACAGGCGTGCGATAGGGAGAAGAATATGGAATGCGAGGGTGAGTAGGTGTTTGGCATTCAATTTCATCGCCAAGCGACGCCGGTATCTTGAACCGTCTTTAAAATGGAAAGAGGTAGAAGGCAGCTTTAAGACTCGCGTGTCGCACTCGTTCTCTTCGAGAGTTTTGGCGCCAACTTTTTCTCAACGCTTCGCCGACAATTCTGTATTCTTATATTTTCCTTGTTAGCTAATTTCGTTGTTGTGTATACTTTAATGATTTATTTTTAGTCTTCCTAACATCTCATTTTACTATATTCTTTTCTTTTTAAAAGAAGTTTTATCAATTTTTCCTTCATGCCCGTTCATCTTAAAAATATACTCCATAAATAAGCTTTAATCTTTATTTATTGTTATTAGTATGGCTTTTATTCCTGTTTCTATTGTTTCTTTTTTATTTATTTATCTCTATTTATTACATATTTCGATTTCCACCAGCCATCTTCCATTCCACACGGGACGCAGTAAAAGTTAATGTTTTAATTCCCTCCGGAATCCCCAAATTCCAACGGTCCAAACACGCGAAAATAGCTTCTGTGTTTATTCAAGGCGTGGAGATTCGTATGAGACGTGTCTCTTTCTGTATTACTAAACTTGACTTCGTCGAGAATGCATTAGTTTTAATCTGATGACGACATTTGAGCATTACGCGATAGCAAAGATCATATCGATGCTGTTCGAGTAACAATAATCGTCTTTTGATTTCCTAAAAGTCGCGCCATTTCACCGAGCACGCTGACAGGCGCGCATGTTTCGCGTTCTCCAGAACGTATTCCCCGCGTCTGTCGACCGAGACCACGTTTCTGGAGAAAAAAAAATCGAAGCGTAAATCGAATATAAGAAAAGAATGAATGACAGAAGAATAAACGAAGCTTCTATAGGAGATGAAAATTAGGACAACGAAATGAGGTGTTTACACTTTCTTTTACGTTTGATCCTTATTTTAGTTTTCGCTTCTTACATTAAAAAAATGTATTAATCTTAATACACATATTCTTTAATTAGCACTAAGTAAACGCATTTACTTACAATAAATAAATATTTTTTCAATTAAAAATGACATTTAAATCAAATAAATATATTTTTATTTCATAAATATATATTTACTAAATATTTATTTAGAACTATTACAACAAATATTTATTACAATTTAATTTTTGCAATGTACAATAAAGCTTCGTTTATGCTTCTGTCACTCTTTGCTTACCTTCGACCGACTTACGTTCTAATTTCCATTTTCGCCAGGATTGCTAGTGCTGAAAATTTTGTTATGCGTAACGTGATAGATTTTCAGTACTGAAAGTGCATATCGGAACACGGCCCAAAACGTGCCATCTTCCCCTTTCCATTAATAATATTCTTGTTCGGTAAAAATAATTATTTTCCGTTCTTTTATCCTCTTCCCTTACCTCCCACTGGGTCTGATTCGTCCACGCGGATCATGTTCCTCGAGCGATTTCACGACGAATCGGCCGCCGTCGTGACCGTCGTTCTCTCGTTTTCCCGGGGAATGGAAAGAAGGAGAGCGAAAGTAGTGATCTTCCTCCGCGATTCCTTTCTGTTTCTCTTTATCTCTTTTTCTTTCTCTTATCCTATTTCGCTCGCGAAAATGAGAACCCCGAAAAAAAAAAAAAAAGGAGATTTCGCGCGGATTTTACACTCGCGCGCGATTCCTCGATCGATCCGCCGCGAGCCACGGGCGATTATGAACTATCTCGCAGCGGTTGTTTCGTGTCGCGCAGGCCAAGACGGTGGTCTCTTCTTCTTCCCCGGCCTGGACGGATTTAGATTTTCGGTGGACGCCGCGAATTCTGCTGGTCGATCACGTGGTCTTGTAGCTCTCAACGATTTCGAGGTGGGGATAAAATAGCTGGCATCGCTCTCTCTTTCTCTTCTCTCTCTCTCTCTCTTTCTTTGCTTGTTCTTCTCTTCATCCTCTCTCTTTTCATATAGATTCATAATAACCATTCCCAATCCCAGCTGTTGGGATGTAAAGCTCAAGGGTATGCTGACAATGCTGACATCAAAAAGTTGTACATTAACGAAAGTTACATATACCTCTTATTACCTAGGAGGGAAGAAAAACGCTATAGATAGTCTGAAATTTAAAGTGATAAAATTTGTCTGACCTGTTTAGAGCGTGCCTAAAATAAGTCGTCAAACCATCGTGAGACTTCATGACATTATATTATATATTTGGTTTTCTTACATTTCTTACATCTTAATATATAATAATCTGGCAATACAGCTTTTCATATCAATGATGAATGTTTCGATTAATAAAAGTACCAATACCTTTTTTTTGGACGATTGATTTCGCTAAATTTCTCCGATCTGACAATGACAAAATCTATATTCTAAATTTCATTCATTTTTATTACATGTATACCACGTCATCCTGCAAGTTTTATTCATCAGATATATGATGTCTTATCTTTCGTCTAATATTTTGGGAATACATTCTGCAGGATAAAATTTAAGAACAGTAAACATCTGTTAATAAATAGAATAAAGTAAAAAGAATAAACTTTTGTTTCTTCTTTCCCTCTCTCTCTCCCCCACTCACTCTCACCTCTCTCTCTCTCTCT